CCATTTTTCCCCATTAAATCGCTATCATACATTTTATAACTCTTTGAATTCGTCTTTTTACACTTTATAAGGAAATAAAGATATATTTTGTAGCATTATATTTACTTCGTTAAATAGTACAAATTTACACATGGAGATAAGTTCGGCGAATACGGAAGATGTTGGAGCACACAGACCTGTTTTTCACCAAAAATTCACGAACAGCGACAGTCCTGTGCGATGGTGCATTATTGTGCAACAAAAATCAACTTCCTGGCGCTTGATATTCGGGCCTCACTCGAACGATTTTTTTCTACAAACGCTTCACAACACCAAATAATATTCACCATTGACAGTTTGACCCTGTGGAACCAATTCCCCAAGTATAATACCTTTAGAATCATAAAAACAGATAAACATTGTCTTCTCTCATGACTTCTGGAATCGCAATTTTTTCGATTTCGGAGAGTCTGGGGACTCCCACGTTGCACTTTGGCGCTTTGTTTGAGGATCGTACTTAAAGCACCAAGTCTCGTCTCCAGTCACAATCGATTCCAGGAATGTGCAGTTCCGTCTGGCTGTTTTAATAAGATCCTTGCAATGTTCAACGCGAGCAATCTGTTGGTCCTCATTTAATGCGTGAGGAACAAATTGAGCACAGACTTTCCGTTTGCTTAAGTCCTTTGTCAAAATTTCATGAATCATGTCTTTAATTGCATTTAATACCCCTGCCATCTATCTCACACTTGAAGTCGCATCGTAGGTAATCATTTCACGCACTTTTTCCACTAACTCATCGCGATTTTCCTTTTTTGGCAGGCCTAGTTTTGGGTCATCTTCCAAAGCATCACGACCGTCCTGGAATCGTTTATACCATTCGAACACACGTGTACGGGATAAACAATCATCGCCATAAACTTTTTTCATCAATTCAAATGTTTCTGTAAAAGTTTTCCCAAGCTTGAAACAAAATTGAATATTTGCTCTTTGTTCCATTGTGTTTCTGCGACGAAGTAATAAAAGGTACTGCCACTTTAACCCCTTAACGCTCATATTTTTCGGGTTGGCCAAGAATGATCAGTTTTCTTTATTGGACTTGTTTCTAAACTATATAAAAATTTGATTTTTGTTAATTACAATGTTGTATTTAACGTATAATTTGAAGGAAAACAAATACTGTCATCCCTTAAATCGTTAGATTAAACAAATATAATTTTTCAAAGTAGTCAGATTCGAGCATGAGCGTTAAGGGGTTAACCGTTATAACTTGACAATCCGTTAGTCGATTCCAATAATGATGCTTTTGTTTTGTAGAGGAAATATACAGCTTTAAGGTTACATATTGTTTCAATAGATGGCATTAGCAGTTTTCATTAAATTTAAAAAGTTCCGTTATTTTTCCGACATACTGTGAATATATTATAAATACGAGAGGTCCCAATTGTGAACCTTGTGGAACAACAGATGTAACATTATGTCATTTAGAGAGAAAATAATATGTGTTAAATTTTAAAGTGATTGGAAAACGGGAACTTGTGCTGCATTTGAGTTAAAATTTTTTAATTATAGGTAATTTCACGTCAATTTAGAACAATTGTATTGTGCTATTTTAGAAGTATTAATGAATATTTTGAAATAGAATTATAATATCTTAGATATATACAGGGTGTTCGGCCAGCCCTGGAAAAAATTTTAATGGCAGACTCTAGAGGCCAAAATAAGACGAAATTAAGGATACCAATTTGTTGATGGAGGCTTCGTTCAGAAGTTATTAACGTTTAAACTTCCGCCTGTACTGAATTTTTTTCTCAAAAATGCGCAGAATTTTGGACGTATGTCTATTCACCAAAAATTATTGTAATTGGCCCCCGCAATCGAAAATAATTTTTCCAAAAATGATTTGAAATTTTTTTTTTCGCCAAAAAATTTCAACACGCTATCTCCGTCGATTTTTCTTAAAAATTCGTTTTTCATTTTTAATAAATTTGTTTGACGCTGTACAGAAAAGTTGTTTAATACTTTTTGTAGGTATCCATGAGCTCTACTTCAGAAAAAAGTTTCATTGAAATATATTTACTATTGTAAGAGTTATGGCTGTGTGAAAATTAGACCATTTTTGTAGTATTGGAGATCATACGTAATGTTATTATTTAACACTAAAGGAATTATAATTTCACCAAAAAATATCGGTTAATAAATATAGAAGAAAACGATACAAGTACATTCGACTCTAATGCAAAGTCGTTATAATTTCAAAACTTCAATTCAAATGCGGCACGTGTTCTAGTTGTCCAATTAAAATTTGGCATAAATGATTTCTTCATCAAGTATCACAATCTATGGAAGTGCGTCAAAAAGAACTAAAAATAAATTTTGACCCCTGTAGCTAAGGACTACCCTAATGCACATATTGCAAGTATTAAATAAGAAAGTATTTAGTGTATTCAGTTCTGTTCTTTATTATACTCGGACCTCCGAGTGTAAAATGTGAAAAGTAGTCGGTAAGTTCTCTGAAAAACTCTGGTCAGCGAAGCAAAACAGTTTGTCTTCGCCGTGGCACTTACTCATCGTTTCTAACGAAGTTGAAGGCTACCGAGGAGAAAAGACGACACCAAAAAATTGGCTTAATTATGGGTCGCAATTAAAGGATGATAATGGCCGGAGGAGGACGTGAGAGCGCCGCTCGGAGACGAGCAAAAAGGAAGCAGGCAGGAGCGTAAACAAGGAGAATGCAATGTGGGGGTAGGTGGCTGAAGCGGCCAAGAGGCAACACACGCTCATGCGCGCTTGGAACCCCGCCCTGTCGCTTCGGACGAAAGCTTGTCCCGTCGAGGACTCTCGGCCGAGGCTCGACGAGTAGTCACGCTTTAACTCGCGATCCGCGAGGCGGATGGTACCGGGAACGCGAGTCGTAGGTGCAGGTACCCGATGTAACAAGGATCAAGATTCCTGCAGTCCTACCTCCTGCACTCTGTGCCGGAGATCCCGTGACCGAGCACGGCGGCACAGACAACATTTTTCGGGGGGTCGTTCTCGACGGGAAGCAGGCGTGCAGGTGTCAGGTGTCAGGTGTTTCATGCGGGAAAAGTCTCTATTTGCGCGCTCTGTACCCGAGTGTCGCTGAGAAACTGTTAACCGAGGGAGGAATTATCCAGTGACAGGTGTTGGACGATCGAGGATTTCATCGATCACGCGTCGCCGCTACCTTCGATACGCGTCTCCAGGTGTTTAAATGTTTGTGGTAAACACGAATGCCACAACGTGATCGGTGTAGATTCCGAGATCAGCAACAGAGTAAGCAGAGGCAACCAGTTGTTGAATGTAGTTATCCTCGTAATTGAAACCAACGGGATACACTTTTCTGATCTTTGTCGATCGAAGGAAGGGAAGAGATGCTTTCTGCGATAATCCGAGTCGACCAATAGCGGCCGGGATTTATCCTAAGCGAGTCGAGGCAAATCCAGAGAAGGCGGCCCGTCGTTCGTTAAGATCGCGTCGCTGGCGATCGGATTTCCTTGATTATAGTAATAGTATCGACGCGATAAAGCACCGTGTCCTTTTGCGAAGGGAAAGGAGAAAGTAGGATCGATTTTTGACGCCTGACACGAACGGCATTATCCTTCGTCCTCGTTCAGGACGTGCCTCCTGTTGATTATAAGTGCTAATGGCAACGGTGGTCGATCGATCATCGACCTCGTTAGTCAGGGGGATACTTCGTCGATGATTGTGCTTGCTGGGTCGATTTCTTGAGCAAGGAAGGAACGAAAGAAGCGCGCCTCTGGCTGGGATATTGGAGATATGTGGTGTGCGAAACGTCAAAATCGTAATAGCAACCAGTCGGTCGGTTAATCGGAACGTAAACTGTGTTTCCTACAAATTTACGTAAAAATTTCTGGTTAGCGTAAGGTGTCTATAACAGTGGGTGAATCTAGCAGGCCTAACTTAACATCCAATTAGTAACGATTCATCGAGTGTCGTCGATTTCGCGATAGAGTTCAGTGATAGTTATCGGGAAGACGTTCGAAGGTGTACTTAGCGGAAAAGATAACGACCTTGAAACTTTTCCACACGGACCAGAAGGCTGACTCGAACACCGAGATGCTCTATGTTCGACAGCGTGACTACAGTTAAAAGGTCGTGATCGATCGACTTACTTCGATGGCCTAAAAGAACTTTAAACGTGCAAGGTCATTTTGAATAACGAGAAAACGGAACGGCTTTAAAGCGCGGATGAAACGAGGAAAGATTTCGTTCGACTAGAACGGATTGATAGTTCCGCGAGACCAATTTGCGAGGCCTACGTGTCCTATTTGCTCGAAGAAAACACAGTAGCGCCCCAACGAAGAGAACGCTCCTCGAGACAGTCCAGATGACGCGATAGCGGAATCCGCTGATCCGCGCGATGTCGTGTCAAGGACATTCCAAGAAACGGGAACGTACCGGCACTAACGAAATGTGGCACGCCGATAGCGGGACGTCCCTCCAATTTTTACAGGGTTTCCACGAGATTTCGAAGACACGGCCGTATGTTGCGATGCGACGATAACGCAGGATCGGTTATCGCGACCAGGATCATTTTCGATCACAGTCTTCTAATTCGTTTCGAAAGTCTATAATATCTTCGGACTGATACGCTTAACGAAATCATAGAACAACGTCGCCTTTTCATGAGATTTTCACGTGAATCTAAACGGCGTACAAAGTTTCGATTAATAAATAATACAAAAGAAAAACGTTACCCGTAGTTAACAGCCGCAACGAAGGAACGCGTTCGCTAAATGAGATCATCTAAGAAAAGACTCGATCAAGCGGCCCAGAAAGCTACCCCTGTCCCGTTCAAGAAGAACCTCGTCGGTCGACCTCGCTACCGAGCCAGCCTCTGACCCCGAGTCAGCACACAAAGCAGCCCCGCCAGCACTCGATGAGTCCTAGTAAAGATAAGGATCCTCGAGCACTCTCGATCGTTTGCCTCAAAAGCCTGAAGAAGATCCGGTTGGCACCTCTCTGAGAGCGGTTGGGTGATGCGCGGGAGCAGCTCCGAGCTCCTGCTGGAGGCGAGCTGCGTCCAGTGTCAGAGCGATCATCACAGCCAGCATAGGCATCAGCAGCATCCGCAGAACGAGAAACACGACTTCCAGGAGCGAGAGCTACGTCGTCGCAAGCTGTTGGAGCTCGGGTTCGGCGCTTCGCGGCGCCGACCGCCACGGCGTACCTGCCGTCAGCGGTTCAACTTCTACGCCACCTCAGCGTTGGCCTTCGTCGCGACGTCTGGCGGGGCAGCGCTCCTTTTCCTGGTGCCCCTCTACGTAGATCCGGCCATCAGCACCTTGGCGGCCGATTTCTCACCTGAACCGGTCATCTGCACCACTTCCAGACGCGAGGAGCTCTACGGTTTGTTCAATTGCACATGGAGCTCGTGCCGCGAGGGATGTACTAGTGACGTTTACAGATGTACGCATATATACGTCACGTACACACCATGGAGCAACACCAGTATGAGCAACGACACTGGAGGTAGAGAGAATCCCGTGAACTCTACCGACATCGCGCACACCTCCACGACTGCGGGTAAGAATTATATTTTCCCATTTTCTTCTACGGTGCGCGATAAAAGAATATCACGTCCAACCGATTTGTTCAGTTTTATTTTGTCAATTGTGAAGATATTATTTTAAATGTAGATATACAGGATGTCCATTCTAATGATCGCCACGATTTTTTAGGTATTTACACCAAGCTGACAAAAAAATGTTTCGAATAAAAGTTATTCAATACTTTCATGAGAATAAATTGCAATAATACAAATTTCGAAAAATTTTGTTGAGGTCATTTTGATTTTTTTAAATAGCACTAAACATTTTTTATTTCACATTGTTATAGCTGATGAAAAAATGAATTCAGCGACCTGCTATATAATGGCCTTTGGATGACCTTTAGTTCAGAAATTCGCAGTATTTAAAAAAATAATTTTCCTACGCGTTAATGAAATGTAAACATAACTCATAGTCAATGATACTTTCGAACTGAATGTAAACAGTAAACATACATCTTTAATTCGATCTTTCATTTACAATACATATTAATTTATTATAATAATGGTAATGTTTGACTACCGGGACCAATCGACCAGTATTGATACTTTAAAACCGAAGCAAGATAGGGCTCTGTGTGATCTAAACGAAACAAATACTTATTCAGCTTGTTGGTGATCCCACAGTGGCAATTGTTATAAAGAGAAAAGGAAAATGAAAATTGTATCTAACACAGCAATGCTACAATTCTCTAACAGAAAGTGGTGAAATTTTCCATGTACTTCTAAACTACGTAGAATGTTATAAATTGTTTATCTAGAAAGATGATATCCCTCCGGATATCATCCATCCTGTATAAATCCACTACCTGTCGACTATTCCTCTAACATTCACCATAAGTCAACAATATTTCAATTTTTTCGGAATTCAAAAAAGATTCATTATTAGATAGATATTCTCACATAACTTATACTGGGCTACCGAGTTTACAGCGACTTTAGTAATACTATGCGAACAAAATATTACATCAAAGTTAAGAGTGTTTACATTGTAACTGTTTACATTCGGTTCGAAAGTATCATTGACTAAAACTTACGTTTACGTTTCATTAAGGTGGTCTTCCACTGTAAAACCCAATTTTATGTTATCTTTGGTATTTTTTTTATAAAGAAACTATATAAGCTTTTGCATCGGCATTTTGCATATATATTTACTACTCTTCCAGTAATATTCACAAATTTTTACAACGAAAAGTAGTAAAAATTAGCGGCAGTACCGAAAAAGTGTTCTAATGGCGTGATTCCAGACGTTCTGTTTGTCTAAGTCAAAAAAATCAAAAAGATTCTTAATTAGGATGCAGTTGTCTATAAGTCGGTACTAAAAGGACAGAAAATATTGATAATTAAAAAAATGGCTGCATTTTTAAATTGAAGTATTGATTTTTTTCTCTTTTTTAACTTTAGCAGGCTAAAGAAAAAATAGAAAGAATAATGATTTTGACTTAATTCTAGTACGGGCTATAGCGATACAAGTATTGAAGGTACACGCCGAACGAAATCAGTCAAGTAGATTTTGAGATATCATGGAAGCCAATTCAGAAAAGATAGTTTTGAGGAAAACGCATCTAAACAGAAGGATCAGACCGAGAAACATGTATACCTTCGTTAATTTTAGAAGTTCAATTATATGTTTATGCACACATATTTCTAAGATTACATCCTTTAAGAAAATGTAACAAAAAGATCAAATTTTTTGGCGGTGAATTTCTGAACTAAACGTTATCCAAAGGCTATTGTATGGCAGGTCGCTGAATTCGTTTTTTCATCAACTATAACAATGTGAAATCGAAAGTGCATAGTGCTATTTGGAAAAGTCAAAGTGACCTTAGTTTTTATCGATAAAAAAAATTTTTCAATGTCTCGAAAATCGTGGTGACTATTAGAATGAACACCCTGTATACTATCGTTTATAAGTCACCGGACATTTTGCTTGTCAACAAATACAATTTTCTAAAGCGACTTTTTTATCCCGCTTTCTTACATTTGGTTATTTTAAGTCACTACTTTAAGTAAAATGTGAGCGTGTAAGTAAAAGTTGAGTGTGTTATTCTTTTGTGGCGAACTGTAGTCTGAGCCGTGGAATTTTCGTTATTGTTGATGAACTTTTTGGGATGAGAAGAGTTCAGGCTTTGGAAGCTCTGGGTATTTAGATCATTCGGCAAAAAACTTGCGAAGCATGCAAATAGGACATCAGTTTTTCAGTTTTGATTATAAGCTTGTTAACCTTACAACACCAATGCCACATCTAGTGGTAGGACTTCGAATTGTTTCACATTATATCGAATCTTATTGTGTGTTGTAACAAAGATTCCAACATAATTCGATGTTAAAAAACTCTTGTAAATCTTGATCGTCTTGAAAGTTTTGAAACTCTTAATTGTCTTGGATGTCTTGAAACTCATGATTGTTTTGAGCCTTGATCATGTTGGGGGTCTTGAAAATCCTAATAATGTTGTTAAGTGTAAATCCAATATATCTTGGACAAAGTGTTTGCGAGTATACTTTCAGAAGAAAAATATTGTTTCTTCTAAATTCATATTTCGTGTTTTGACGTTTAATCCGGGACCATCCTTTATAAATAACGTATTAAGATACAAGTTTGACTCACAGAACAACTCAGTATATGTATATTGGTTAACAGTAATTCAAAAGCATAACGTCTCATCATCCTACCATACCAGTTATGAGTTAAAGAAACCATAAATTAGGTAATAGAAAATTATTAAAATGATAGGCTTTTCGCGGTCAAATACTTATTTTAAAACATTGTTCGTCACTTTGATTCATTCTTTTTATTCTCAACTTAAACAAATTATTTGACTTAATTATATTTGTTAAAAATCAATTATATTTGTAGTCTTACGAATATACTCAGTAATATGTATATGTAATATATCAGTAATAACGTGATAGTAAATATGTTCATCTTAAAATTGGCAAAGAAAACCATCCTATATACTGAACTCGTATCATTGCATCCAGCCAGGGTTGAACAAATTTTATTCATAAATAACAAATGCAAATTGTAGATTTATTTTTAAGCTAAAACGACATCCGGACGAGCGAAAGCAAGTTTATGAATGAATCTAAAATTTTTATTCGTTATTCGTGAATAAAATTTGTTCAACTCTGTTTACAGCGTTCTGTAAGTTACTTTACTTCGTTCGTTCTTTGAACGATTTATTTCGAAGAAAAAAAAGTCGTCCAAGTTATTTCAATCGAGAAATAGGAGACATACATATATAAATGTATCTGTGTTTACATGTACACGATTTCTGAAGTAGGTACGATTTGTTACAAAGTGTCTATTCAAAGTACTGAAATTATGTATCAAAGAGTTGAGCATGGTTTTTAGCAAATTTTAATAACTCCTGACGCGCCGAAAGGATAGGAAGATTAATGATAACACATTTACCAAAAGTTTTTAACGTTTCATGAATACAAATTTGTGAATTTGCATTCGAATACAACGCGGTGACTCTGTGAATATTTTGTGAAACTGAGTGGATACAGATTGTTAAAATACAAAACTCACTATAATTGGGAAACAATGTCAAATCAAGCACATAGTTTAAAGGAATTTATTTTTGCCTTTTGTAAGTACTAAAACCATTCCTGAAGTCCCACGCATTACGAGATACCCTATAGAGTGATAGGAGATCACAGGAGGTCTCATACTGTCTTCTGACCCTAATACTTCCTATCGCCATTTTAGAGGGTGAGTCATGTAATTGACTAGAATCATATTTTTTATGGCTGAGAAAAGACGATATTGGTATAATAAACTGTTTAATAATACATAACATTCAATGACGTCATTTTGTACACAAGTCCAACTTGTATACTCTTTTTTTAATCTCTTAACAGCGTTCCCTGAGTCGAACTCAAATAGCGATAGAATAGTCGGAAACGACCATTGTTTCATCTGACCATTTAAGGGATGAAAATAATTGCTTTACTTCATATACCTCGTTTCGGTTTCCATTTGATTAAAAACGTTATTTAAAATAATTGTTGTGTAGTCTAGAAACAATGCTAATAATGAGGACTGATTATTTTTTCCAATAAATGTGTGCGGTAAAAGGTTAAATAAAATTATATTTATTTTACATAAATCAATTTCTCACGTTATTTCGCGGATAGAAAATATGAGATAAAACATTTGAAATATAAATATTTTCAAGGTAATAAAAGAAAAGAATATAAATACTTTTTATAAATATATTTAATTGAATCTAAACATTAATTTTTGTCTTAACTAAATATTTATTTCACGTCTCCATATTTTCATCTTTTTCATTAATCTTAAAAAAAAGTTATAATTCTCTTCTTTTTGCAAACGTATATTCATAATTCTTTTTCCTTTTATTTTTAGAATCATGTTTGCTTTTCATTACATTGAAACATTTCGGTCCAGTGGTTTCCTTTGTTGGATTTATATTCAATAAGCAATTTGTTGTTGAATTCTTAAACTTTTCAAAATATTTCAATTTGTTCAATGACGTATATCGTATAGTCATCGTTAAATATTTATAATCATGCGATGTTGGACATTTAGAACACTTTGAAAAATACATTTGAAAAATTTGGAATACTTTGGAAAGTATTTATGTTACAAATGTTTCATTCTATAATTTTCATATGCCAAATAATGTGGAGAATTGATTTATTTAAAGAAAACATACATATAATTATATTTAAGAAACTATTTACAGTAAGACCTCGCTTAATACTAATCTTATGTAAATAAGGGTAACACACTTTTATAATAAGCATTAATAAATTTAAAGCAGCAACTAAAACTTAAAATTATTGGGCAATATAAATCTGAAGGAAACCCACGGGATCAAATAAATATAGGCATAAATCGAACGAAAAAATACAAAAATTTGAAAAACATAGAGATTTAACAATAGAAATGAAACAGCTTATAAGAAAAATCTTTCTGTACGTAGTACAGTGTTGCAGATTGACACGC